GGACGCGCGGGGCTGGGGCGCAGCTCCTGGGGGCCGGAATAAAGAGCCTGGGCAGGCCGCCGTGGTCTCTGCCCGCGTGTTTGCTGCCTCGCTGTTTTTTGTGGGTTCTTCGGTGGGGTTGGGGTGCTCACGATGTTGCTTTTTTTCCAAGATTGCTTAAGTGATGCACACGGAACTGGGGGCAGCCGGAGGTGAGGGGTGAGAGGCTGCCCTGGAGCAGAGTGGGGAGCAGAGCAGGCAGCGGGGCTGAAATACACTGCTGAGGGGAGCAGCGGGGTCCGAGAGGTCTGCCCCTGGTCCCCTCTGGCCTGAGCCCCGGAGGCCCCACTGGTGCCAGAGCTCTGCTGCTCCCGCCCTGAGGCGCTGACCGCCTGGGCCAGGAGCCCGAGGTTAACTGCTTCCGACACCGAGACTCCCCGAGACTCCCCTGGAGCTGCCGTGTGTGCGCCTGTTTGCCCGCTGGAGCCGCTACCGCCCCGCTGCTAGCATAGTCGCCTGCGTTCCTTGTTCTGCGTAAAGGAGCCGGGGTACATGGTGGGGGGCTGTGTGTGACGGGGCTCCCAGAGACAGCACTGACATACCCTGCTGAGGGGAGCAGCGCGGCACAGCGGGGCCCAGGCCCCCAGGCCGGTGGTCAGCTCCCTGGCTGGGAATTGAGCCGCCGCTGCGATTAGCCCGTCGTGCCACCAGGCAGGGCCCTACTTTATTTTTTAAAGGTTTATTTATGCAGACAGAGTGGGGCACAGGCCAGAGGAGCAGCGGAGAGAGGATTCACCAGAGGCAGGGCGGAGCAGCGGGGAGACAGGTCTGCGCCCTGGCGCTCACTCCCTGGCCGGTGGTCAGACTTGTGAAGTGGCTGTGGACAGCGTCTTCGTGCTGTGCTTCAGCCTGTGGCACCACCGGGGTGGGCCCTGTTTGCCTGGTTTTATGCATAGAAGAGTTGGGGGTCAGGGCAGGGGTGAGAGGAGTCACCAGGGAGCAGGACAGGCAGATCCACTGAAACACTCTGCTGAGGAGACGGAGGGGCCTGCTGTGTCCTGAGGGTCCCTCCTTGGTCAGGATTCGAACTTGGACAGCAGGGTGGTGGCAGCACTGAAATTTCTCCCAGAAAACCGAATACACCCTGTTCCTTGTGTTTGTAGAAACAGGATTTTACTTTTTATTATGTAAACATTCATTTCATTTATCTTCATACCTAGCTTTGCCTGGAGGCTGCCTATAGCATCCTGGGCTGAGACTTAACCCTTACACCACCAAGGAGTCCCTCGTCACTTTCCTTTTTTTAGTAGAAACTGCCCTTTTTTTAAAAAAAAAAATCTAATTGTGCACACAGAACTGGGGTACAGGCTAGTCATGCAGAGGCAGTGAGAAGCCCCGCTGGAGACATGGGGAGCAGCGGGACAGGAGAGGTCTGCGGTAGGGGATTTCACTGTAACCGAGGTGGCTGCCGCCGGCTTGTCCTGCTGCGTCCTAACCTGTTGCGCCACCCAGGAGGTCCCAATCGCTTTTTTTTATTTTTTTATGTTCTCATGTTAGGGCTACCTTGGGCTTATGTTCTGAAATAACTTTTTGTAAATATTTTGCATGCACGCAAGAGCCTGGGGTACAGGCCCGAAGTGCAGAAATGGGACAAGATCTAGCAGAGCTTGAGGGAGGGAGCAGCGGGGAGACGGGTCTGCTGTGCCCTGTGGGTCACTCCTGGCCGGGGTCCGTGCTCCTGCTGTAGAGGCTGCGGACAGCGCCGTAGCACTGAGAGCCGACCCCTGGGGCCTCCGCAGTGCGGCAGGGGTTAAGTCTCAGCACTGTGAACTGCACCTGAGGCCATCCACAGCCAGGGAGGGCCCCCCTGTCCCCCCAGTGTTCCCTCAGCGGGAGGTTTCTTAGACCTGCCTGTTCTGTTCCCCACTCAGTCTCTGGGGGATCCTCTCACCTCTGGCCTGCACCCCAGCTCCTGCATGCGTGCATAAATAAATTTTTTTTTTAAATTGAGTTGTGACAAAGAAGTTTTAGTTGTACAACATCCGAATATTCGTCATGTTGACCAGGGAGAAGTCTAGTTTTCATTCCCACTTAAGTTTCTCTGATTTCAGCCTCTTCCTCACAAAATTTTGATGTTGTCTACATGTTTTCTAGTGAAATGTATGATAAGACATTTTGTTAAATGATTATTTTAGAAAAACGTTTCTCTGGCCTTGATTTCCCCCAACGGAGGACACGAATAAGCCACATTAGGTACCACTCCGGTTGGTGAAACTGGAGCTGTTGCCATACCTGCAGTCGGTATCGCGCATGTAACCTCCCACGACCCACAGATTGCAAATTACCTGGCTTTCGTGTTTTCCTCACAACCACGTCCTGTGCTTGGGTCCCCTCGTGGAGGGCCCTGGCCGAGACCTGCACCCTGACCGCTCCCGCATCCCCTGTCCCGCTGCCCCAGGACTACATTGCCGTGAAGGAGAAGTACGCCAAGTACTTGCCCCACAGCGCAGGCCGCTATGCCGCCAAGCGCTTCCGCAAGGCGCAGTGCCCCATCGTGGAGCGCCTCACCAACTCCATGATGATGCATGGCCGCAACAATGGGAAGAAGCTCATGACTGTCCGCATCGTCAAGCATGCCTTCGAGATCATCCACTTGCTCACGGGCGAGGTAGGGCGGCGGAGCCAGGCGGGGCAGGGTTGGCCCAGAGACGGCCGCCCCACGTGCCCAAACTGGGCTGCCCGTGGTGTGTGATTGGGCCTGGTCTCCGGCTCATGGGTCCCCTCCTGCCCTTCCTCCTAGAACCCCCTGCAGGTCCTGGTGAATGCCATCATCAACAGCGGCCCCCGGGAAGACTCCACCCGCATTGGGCGAGCCGGGACTGTGAGGCGGCAGGCCGTGGATGTGTCCCCCCTGCGCCGTGTGAATCAGGTGGGCCTGGGGCTTTGGCACTCGAGGCTGGGCAGGAACAGCCAGCCACTGGGCCCTGGCGAAGGCCTGCCTGGGGGCAGAGACAGTGGCAGGCTCATCTCTGAGGACGTGCTTTTCCTGGGGTGTCATTTCCTCCAGGAAGCCTTCCTGGATTCCTCCACCAGGCAGGGCTCCTCCACGCTCTGGGCCTTCTGGGCAGTGTTCTGCTGAGGGGTAGTTGAATTTGGGTGGCCCTCTGGACACATTCCAGCCACTTCTCCCTTAACACTTTCCTGGCCGTCCACGCATAAGACAGAACACTGTTCCCATCACCCTCACGAGGGGTCTGACGGTGCCCACTGGCCGGTTCTGTCACTGCTCTGGTTTACGCAGCTCGGCCAGTGTGCCCTCAGGAGAGCACGTGTCTGTCCGTGCGCTGCTGTTTTTGGGGGCTCCCTGGGACCTGTGTCAATGGGTGGCAACACTGAAGGTGTCCGGGCTTGGGGCCGGACATCTGTGCCCGCCGGCCTGCTCTGGGCCCCCCCGGAGCCCCGAGCTCAGCTGGCCTGTGCTCTGCAGGCCATCTGGCTGCTGTGCACAGGGGCCCGGGAGGCCGCCTTCCGGAACATCAAGACCATTGCCGAGTGCCTGGCTGACGAGCTCATCAACGCTGCCAAGGTGGGTGATGGCCTCCGGGGCCGGGGTGCCGTGGGGGGCCCTGCCCGGTCAGTGCTCACCTCTGCCTCTCTGCAGGGCTCTTCCAACTCCTACGCCATCAAGAAGAAGGACGAGCTGGAGCGTGTGGCCAAGTCTAACCGTTGATCACCAGACTGCAGCCCCAATAAACCTGCCTGTCTGCCCTCGGGGCAGCTGCACCCACTGTGCTCCTGTGTCTGATTGGGGGGGGCAGACTGCTGCTGTGGGGACCTGGGTTCTTCGTGCGAATGTGGTGCCGGGAAGTAACCACTGACTCAACCGGGGACCTGGGCTGAGCCCCTGGAGCGTTCCAGGCCCCTGGGAATGGGAGGGTGTGGTGTGGGGCAGGCCCCAGGCCACTGGTCCAGGAGGGGCTCGAGCAGGTCTGCGGGTGTCCTGGAAGCACCTGCAGGGAGAAGGGCCGAGGTGTCCATGGGCTCACAGCCACTGGCTAGCCAGGGCCTTTGTGCCCGCCTCTGGGTCTTCTCTCCAGGCCCCCAGGGGTGCGGGCTGCCTGCCCCGCCTCCTGTGTGTAGCCCAGAACGGGCACGCCCCCC